CATTTAAAAATTATTTAAACCTGGCAAAATTTCTTTAATAAAAATTAAGTATTTATTGGCAAAAACTACATAATAACATCTTATTATAACTAAACCTTTACATATTTTTTATTATACTATAATTTATTGCTAGGAACCTTCTGGCTATTACTTTATATGCCATTACTCTAAAATCAATTGTTGTTTCATTTTTTGATTTTGTAGGTTTGTGTTTATAATCAAGTTGTTTATGATTAGGAAAGGGGGTAATTACCTTGTAAGGTTCTGGTATTTCTGTCAGTTTCCATATTGTTCTGCTGATTGTCTATTATAGTTTGGTTAGAATTATTATTCTGATCATTATTATTTTTATTGTTTTGTTGATTCATTTGTTCTAGCTATGCAAATCATTAGCTAATTGTGTTTATACATTAGGAGTTCCATTCTCTTTGCACTTCGAATTGTTGGTCTATATATTGTTGCATGGTTCGCATTATAGCTACTACAGTTGTTTGACTATTGTATCTACATATGTTTTCATTTGTGTATCTATGCTTATTTCTAGACTTCGCTCCTCTTGACTTTGACTGCCTGATGCAGCAATTGTTTCTACAGACTCATTAAATAGTGTGCTTGTATTTCTAGTAATTGACAAGTTGCATGTATTTTTTTTGCTCATTATTGTGAAAGTTTTACTTTTCAGATTATTGTTTGACCACTTGCTGATGTTCAACCTTATATGTTGCTGCTTGTTATTTTTGGTGCTTGTATTGTTGTCTGATTAAGTTGTTTATCTGCATTCCTTACATGTGCTGTTCTTGTTTAGGAGCTGTATATACTGGATTTTGCTTATTGGCGCCAAGTCACGCATGTGATTGTAGGCGCTAATGCATTATTGCATCGATTTCCTTTTTGATCTGTTGACTGTTTATCAACTCGAAAAAATAGTAAAATCGAATAAAACAGAGAAAACAAAAAAATCAGAGAAATTGAAGATAGTACAAGATTTGGCTGTATTAACACTAGGAGCAGATTTGCCATTTATAATATAGAAGTATTAATTCTGGCTGATCAAAATTTTTCGACTAGCTAAACTGATAAATTTTATCAGCTTAGTCGATTTTTTATTAAAATTTTGGAATCATTTGGAAGATCAAGTTTGTTCATTTTCTACATTAGAACTTTTAAGAATGTCATAATAAAATTGATCAGCTGATTTTTAAAAAAATTGACTAGCTAAGCCAATTTTTTCACTATTAGCCAGAATATCTACATAGAAAAAATCTATAGATCTAATAATCCTGTTTAAACATGTTTATTTAACTAATATCACATACAGATACAGTGAATCAGTCACTTAATCTTCAAGTTCCTCATGTAATAGATCATAATAACTTATCGAAAGTAGACATTATAATTAGGCAAAGGGAATTTCAAGGCTTGAGTTATCATTCGAAATCTGGTCATATGGTTGTTCTTAACGTTATTGAATTTCTAACTTCTTCTAATCTTTTCAAGTTGACTTATCATCTCTCTAAGAATAGTCAAACACAAGATTCAACAGATAAGTTCTCTTTTCTCAATAACTTAACGACACTTTACTCTTGTTCGAAGAGTAAATTAAGCTATTGTAACTTAACCTCTTAAAAGTCATTTACTAACAGGTCATTTCACTGACATATTAGCCTGATTTAAGGTTAGAATTAGGTTAGTGCTAGCTAATTTTTTATTTTCTGTGAAATGGCTATCAGTTAAATGAGACATAACTAATTAAGAATGTAACATTATTTGAGTACAAGTTTATTAATTTAGCAATAATTGGATTGATAAGATTAGCAGATTTATGAGTCAATAGAAAGGTTGTGTTAATTTTTATCAATTGAATAATAATTTATTGAAGAGCAGAAATACTCTGTTTATATAGACTTTATAGCAATAGATAACGTATAAGTCTTATATATCTTTTAGCTCTTATAACTCTTAAAGGATATATAAGATTTATTACTTTTTTAATACTTATAAGACTTATAACTACTATTACTTTTATAAGTCTTATAATACTTTTAAGACTTATAACTCCTATAACTCTTATAAATCTTATAATACTTTTAAGACTTATAACTTCTATTACTCTTATAAGTCTTATAATACTTTTAAGACTTATAACTCCTATTGCTCTTATAAGTCTTATAGAAGCTACAAGATCGATTGCTCCTATAAGCACAGGATCCCTAAAAAGGTCAAGAATTGACTTAGCTATAAAATTAAACTGTGGCTAAGTTATATAGTTTCAGAAAGAAAACTTAAAACCTAATTCTCTTATGTGACATTTCTCCCTTTTCAACTCAGTGAGTTTTACAAACTCTTATTGCATAAGGTATTGAACTTTAATAGCAGATAAGATATAGATGTCACTAAAAGTAATATTTTGTGTTTTATAAATTTGACTAATACCTTAAAAAAAAAAATATCATAAACCTAAATTGCAGCCAAGTAATAATAGCAAGTTATAGTTCAATACATTTGGCCTATTGAGCTTTAGTAGAATTGGCAAATAGCATGCTAAAGTAATAAGCAGAGACTAAGGTTTCTATTTTTTAGTATAGACAAATAAACTTAATATGTTAGTTATAAGCTAACAATGTACTATTTATAAGATCTTGTGATTTATTGAACAGAGAGAGTGTTATGAGAGTATTAAGAGAAATTGTAAGAGTTATATTAGCTAAGATTTCAGTTATAGTTATATTGGCTATTTTGGTTCTTTATTCTTTTATATTACAACTCTATTCTTTTATACAATATTTTCTGATTAATTAATCTGTTGATCAGTTTTTTTTTCTTATCAATAAACCTATTACTATTTTTAAATTTCCTATTTTTTTTTTTTTCTCTCTCTATATATATATATATATATATATTTTTTTTTTTTTTTTTTTTTTTAGATTTTCAATGAATAGTCTCATCATAATATAACATCATCTTAAACATCACTTGAAGTAGAGTTTTAATAAGTGAATATTAATTAGTATAGTTACTATCTTCTCATCTATAGTACATAATTTAAAGACATTATTATGTAGGATTTCATAAATATAGAATAGTTCTTTCTATTTAAGATTTAGTTTAATACTTCTAGAAAATACCTATGATACTTGATATACTAACACTTTATCTTTGAAATTTAGGTCTAATTTGGTTTTAACCTTCCTGTTATAATATTGTTTTTGTCTATTTTAGACTAGTTAGACTTGTATAATAGCTATATTAAAGATTTGAAGTAAATGTTTTAATAGTTCAAATATATATTCTATAGTTATAGCATTTAACTCATTATTGCCCTTAGGTTCTATTAGTTGTTTGACTTCCTATTCATATATAAAGTAGAATAGTATAATTCTTATTGTTGAATAGTAATTCATATAGTAAACAAATAGTACTAGCAAAATTACTGTATTCTAGTTTAAAATATTTTCAATAAATTTTGTGATTAACTCATATAATATTTTATTTAATTACTCTACAAAGCTATTTGTCTATAGATAGTAAGGTATTAATAGAATATACTTAATCTGAAATTTTTCTAAAAGACTTTTTACTAACTAGTTTTGAAAGTTAGTACCTCAATCTGACAGAATTTTCTCAGAGCATCTATGACAGCAAATTATATTATTATACAAGAATTTAGCAACTTTCTAACACTAAAAGTCTTAGTTCAGACTATTTTGTTATATAGTTTGTTGCTATAATAATATATCTATTTCCTTTAGTTGTTATAGGTAGCAGACCTACAATGTTAATATCTATTTGATAAAATAAAGCAACTGCTAATATTATGTGTAGAAGGGTATTCACCTTATTTTTCCTTCTTCTTTGATATGAGTCATAAGACTTCATATAATCTCTAATCTGTTCAAATAATTAGAGCTAATAGTAAATCTTTCAGATTTTTTTAAATATTACTTTAGCTCTAAAATATTCTCCAATCAGATAATTGTAAATAAGAAATAGGATTAGTTTAACTTCATAAGTTTAGACTACTTGTAAGAGCTTTTTAAAATCTTTTTTGTTTTTCTTATAAATAATATCTTGTTTCAAAATAAATATTTTTCTGTTATTTACTAATTTTCTCTTTTCTTTTCTGTTAAGTTAAGATTGATATATTAGTCTTAAAAATATCTTCTAAGTTGGTTATAATTTTCTAGGCTCATTATTTATTTTTGTACTAGAATACTGACTACTTAGACCAGATTATATTTTATATCAGGTTTTATTTAAGACTGTTTAAATAAGTATTCTTTCTATTATTTGTTTATTTCTTTTAACTATTATTTAATTACTTCTTAGATTGGTATAGATAATTAGCTATACTATGATACTGTTATAATCTTTGTATTTAGATTTGTATTATAATTGGCATGGATGTATTCTTTCTTATTTCCATATTAATATTTTTCTATTCTCTAATTTTTATTTAGCTTTCTTTTATAAAGTAATTTTATATATATATATATATAAATATGTATATATATTTTTGACTTCCTTTTATAAATGAAAAATCTTTAATTCTCCAATTCTATTATATTTTTTATGCATATCAGTTACATGGTCTATTTGATAAACTTTACTTTTTACTTATTAAATAAATTATCATATTTCTTTCTAATTTCTTTCATTATCTCTTTTTTTTTTTTGTTTTTACTTAGGCTATTCTTTTTATAGCTTTCTGGTGAAATTTGAAATAAATCTTAGTTTGGACTTTTTATCTTGTTCAGTTAAGTTTTTGTGAATTAAATTTAGTCCTCTAATTTAATTGTTTCTTTTCTTTTTCTTTTTATTATAAAGTGTTTCTTTTCTTCCTACAATTTAATGTTATAACCATACTACTTTTTTTTTTTTTGTCACATTCATCAAATATTCATATTTTTTTTTTTTGTTTTACAAAAATAAGTTTGTCTTTTGTTAAAATATTGTTAAAATATTGTTATCATTTTTTTTTTTTTATATCTCTAATTCTATTTTTTTTACAAGTTTTTAATTCAGTTCTTGCAAATTTGCTTTTGCTTATATACTTTCAAAATTCACTTTTTTAGAGTTAGAAGATCGAGCAAATTATTAGCTACAAGTTAGTATCTACTGAAATCAGTCTAATAGATAGCTTCTTCAACTTTAGCTCTTTCATAGCAAAATAACTTCTGAGAGTAGAGTAAGTATAAATAAAGTATATATTTTTATACTTAATATCTTGTATATAAAAAGCTAACTTCTGTTTTCTTCTATAAATAGCTTTAGATCTAGGTAGCAGTAATAATATTTTATAGCTTATACTACTACTAGGTACTCTAATTCAGTATTAAAATAGTTTTTCTTAGCTTTATTTAGACTTCTGCTAACATATAAATCATATGTTCTTTCTTTTAATTATCTTTTTGTGATAAAACTACTTCTAATTCTATTCTAAATATATTAGTATAGAGATAGAAAGTCTTATCAAAATTTGAATATTCTAAGACTAGCACTATTGTTAAACAAGTTTTTAAAGTATCAAATGCTTTTTGTTAAGAGGTATCCTACTAATACACAATATCTTTTTGCAACAAATAATATAATAGCTTAGCAATATTAGCAAACTCTTTAATAGATCATCTATAATAAGAGAATAAACTGATAAATCTTCTTAGCTATTTAAGATTTTATGAGATTAGGAATTTGTAAACCTTAATTATATTATCATTATTAGATTGAATTCTTTTATCACTGATAACATGCCCTAAGAGATTTAATGATTTCTTAAAGAGCTAATACTTTTCATTATTAAGCTTTAGTTAGTCCTCTTTTAACTTAGTAAAAACTAATTCAAAATACTCCAAATGTTTCTTATAGGTTCAGAAGTATATCATAATATTATTTAGATATACTACTACAAATTTACTGATATGCTCTTAGAATATTTAGTCTATTAGCCTTTAAAAAGTAGCAGACATATTATACAGACTAAAAAATATTATATTAAATTCGAATATACTAAATTTAGTAATAAAAGTAGTCTTTTCTTTGTCTGTTTTATTTATTTCAACTTACTAGTAGCTACTGGCTAAGTCTAGACTAAAGAACTAACAAGCTCCTTCAAAGGTTTCAAGTAAATTTTTGATCCTGAAAATAGAGTACTTGTTTTTTTCATAATAGCATTTAATTTTCTATAGTTAATGCATACTCTAAGCTGCTCATTCTTTTTAGAAACTAAAACTACTGAGGAGGTTCAAAGGCTATATGATTCTCTAACCAGACTACTAACTAATATTTCATTAACCTGTTGCTTCAAAAATTCTTATTCCTTAGAACCTAACTAATATACAACTTGCTTAATTAAATAGATATCTTTTGTGTCTATTTGGTATTAGACTAAATTTGTTCTACCTAACTTATTTATTCCTTTAGCAAATAGATATTTAAAGTTTTGAAACAATCTTTCTGCTTTATTTTTTTTTGGCTAACTTTTCCTTAATTAATTCTTTTGTAGACATCATATTTATAGAGGTTTTATTCTTATTATCTTTCTCTTTTTTCTAATTTTTGATATAATTTCTTCTATTGAAACTAAAAACTCAGTTAGACTATAAGTATTTGCCTAAGGATTTACAAATAGCTTATTCCTATCTGTTGTTAGTAAAGTAGTTGTTAAGCTAGTGTAATATCTATTTATTTCTTCTAACAATTCATCTTCATATTTTTTTTTTACTTTATACAAATACTATGAGCTAAATTTTATTAGTATGATAGTAGGAAATAATTATATATGTGAGAGTATAACTAGCTATATGTATAGCTTTAGATTGTCTAATTTAAGTAGTCTGCCTGAAGGTTTTATACTAGCTACTATACCTAATATTTATTTAAAAATTCCTTATTTAAACTCTTTAGCTATATACTATTTTACTCAAATACTATTATATTATCTTATTTGTCTAACTCTATACTATTTCCATTTTTAGAAAATATCAACAAAGCTGATATTAGTCTACAAACTTTATGATTCATAGCTTAGGCCTATTTCAGGTATCTCTTTTCCAATTTCCTAATCAATGAGTACTATAGTACCTAACTATACTATGCTATATCCTAATCTAAAATAATATATTCTTGTTCGATATTTATACAAACCTAGTTTATACTATAGTTTTTTACTGAGTTAGTTATTTGTGCTTCTAGATATTATATGAAATAAGCTCTTTCAAATCTAGTTACCACCCAAATTAGTGTTGCTGAAAGTTACTGTATC